ATTCATATCACCGGAAATTTTGAAACAGCATGCTGTACTGCTTGGCATTCATGCTGGAAGTTCTGATACAAACATTTCAGAGTATTTAAGTGTCAATCTGAGGACAGATGATTTGGAAAGAGTTGATTGAGTCTAATGGTGATTACAAAAGTATTTGGAGTGATCACTATTGATGCTTACATTTTGCCTCCATTCATCTACCCACAGGGTCACAGACTCAACACAGAGGCCTACATCAAATGCCTTGAGGAGCTAGAGCTGCCTTGGGTCAAGAGGATGGTTATTGGAAGACCCTATGTCTGACAACAGTACTCTGCACCATACCACACAAGCAGAAGGAACCTGTCATGGATAATCAGGCAATTTTTGCAACTACTCACCCCTTGCATCTAGCCAACTAAATCTCCAGACTGCAACCCCCTTGATTGAGTGAGAGACAAACAAATCTCCTTGCAACACAACAGATTAACTGAAGGCAAGGATTATGACATCATTCACCAATTTAAATAAGCAGACTATCCAGAACAGTTGCATGAGATTCCAAAGTTGTCAGGAGGCTGTGGTTGAAGCCAATGGTGATTTTATTGAATAAATTTACTCTTTAGTATTTCAAGATATTTTGGTGCAATTTTGGTAAATATATCTGTTAAAATGAGATGTCAGTGTTATTTTCATTTATACATAATTTAGACAATATTTTATCCATCACATTCTATATATATATATAGCTCATTTTTTTAAGATGAAGCACCTTTGGAAAGTGCCTGGAAACTATACCACGGCTTGACGCAAACCTTGTGAGTAAAACTGAGTAGACAGAACACATGGGGGCTGTTGATAGCTGTGCTAGCATGAAGTTACACGTCATCGTGACCAAGGCTTTGAGTGTGCTGGCCTTGTTCAGATTGTTGATCACGCTAGATAACACACTCTTTCCCAGAAACTGTAACTAAGCTCTGCTCAGCATAAGTGCAGCATAGACCACTAAATAAACTGTGGGTGTTGAACACAAATGTGCCTGAGGGAGCGTCTGCAATAGGGATTGGCTAGCCAACCTAATAGAAGAGTATCCTTAAATATGAGTGGCCAGCTAATATATGTATATGTATATATGGCTATGCAGCTCGGAGTAAGAAATCAAACAGCCAAGTTCATATTCTAGTTGGGTTCATTACATTCACTTGCAAAAATACTTTTGGGAATGGTATGAATCCATGTCTTCTTCCCCCCAGTTATGGATAAATAGCAGGACAGACTGGGCCCTATAGCCTTGGTTGGCAACCAGTCTATGAGAAGGAAAACTCTGAATTCAAAACCTGAAGAGAGTTGTTTGAACAACTTGTGATATTATTATGTGTGCCAGTCCTCTGAATTTGGTTCTTCCAAAATGTATGACCGATTCTTCAAAAACCTTCACAACTAATAATCAAGTCATATGGCTGGTTTAGTTCTAAGACCTGAGCTGCTGAATCATCATATGCCAAAAAATGTTGGGAGAGTCCAGTACACACACACACACACACACACACACACACACACATATATATATATATATATATATATATATATATATATATATATATATATATATATATATATATATATATATATATACACACATGCATACATACATATATATATATATATATACATACACATATATATATTTATAAAAATATTGCACATTTTAAACAATATTATATATATATATATATATGAACACAATATAGATGAACAAAACAATTTTTGTCTCAGAAAAAACAACACCCTAATAATGACATTGTGCTAATGTCAAATATAGTTGGAATAAATTAATATGTATCAACATGGTAATTTTCTCTCTTGCTTTAATAAGGTTACTAAGAAGCTTGTCCATGAATATGAAAGGATCCTATTGAAAATAAGTGGACAAAACTTGTCTAAATTAGTTAATGAGATATGTTTTAATATATATATATATATATATATATATATGTTTATACACATGCACACACACATGCATACATATATATATATATCTAGAGAGAGAGAGAGAGAGAGAAAGATATAGAGACACAAAGAGACAGAGAAATAAACAGTGTGTTTATAGAAATCTTACTATCAATTTTGTGTCATATATATATGACCTGACGATTCGTCTAGCATGAAACAGCCTGCCGCCTTTGAGAGTTGACTCAATGCTCACTTTTATATATATATATATATATATATATATATATATACACACACTCACACACATACACACATATATATATATATATATATATATATATATATATATATATATGTTTAGTCTTTTTTTCATTAACTTTAGCAGGTAGTGTACCTTTGATGGTTAGCAAATTCACTAATGTAAAATTTTACCATTTTTTTGGAACCTCTCTTCTGTAACCTTATGTCCAACTAATCTAAATATAGAAACAAATTATTGAGAAATTTTACTTTCTAGAAAGAGAGAAATGGTATCTGATGTCCCAAGTGCATAAAGAATTATAGATTGATATTTACTTTGTTAAGCCGTGTTTGGCATTCAAGGATAAATGGGCATCTTTCAAGTGGTGGTTCGGGAAATAACAGCCTGCCTTGAAAATCAGCATTTTGAAATCTTGCTTTTTACCCAAGTGTGTTGAGTATTTGCATGTGTGAGAAGGATGCAACAACCTCTTACCAAGATTACTAGCTTAGTTTGTCGCTCACAGTCCAGTGGATGGGTGAAATGATGGTAGGAAGACTGTGTTTCACCAAGTGTCAAAGGCCTACCTGCTTTGAAAATCAGCATTTGATCATTTTTCGCTGGGTACAGAAACTGACCAATGGTACAGTGATAAATTACACAAGCCAGAAATTAAGTCTAGTTTATTTTTCCGAAAACTCTTTATTGTTTTCTCTCTGAATATCTGGGATGGGGTGCCATTATTATTTACAATATTTACATGCAGACTATTGTCTTCATCTTTGTTGTTGTTGTTATCACAACATTTCAGCCGTTGTGACCCTCTGGCTGTCATTAGGTGTCTGTCGATTCTCTATATTGTAATCATACAGATATCATTTCATTGCAATATTTATCTTTATTTTCTGTGTTAAACTAAAAAAAAAATATGAGAGAAAATGAAGTGCTGGGGGGTGGGGTCTTATATGTTATTAAATATGGTCATTGTCATGTGTCCAGTTGTGCTTTTTACAAAAAATACGGGTTAAATGTCACATTTTTTTTGTATAATTTGTGATATGAAATATGAATTCTATGCGGTAAAATATCCATTTCTATCAGGGTTTTGCTTTTTGAATAAGAATTTCCGTAATAAATTTTTTTTTGCAATAATAATTTCCTCTATAATCTGTTGTTTCTGTAATAAATTTCTGCTATAATTTCTGCAATAATCTTTTCCTATAATAATCATTTTCTTATGTAATTCTTTGCTGCAATATTCTTATGAATTTTCTGTTATAGTTTTCTGTACTAATCATTTCTGCAATAATCTTTTTCAGTAATAATTGTTATCTGTAATTAATCTTTTTGTAATAATCATTTTCTCTTATAATCATTTTTATGCTATAATCATTATTTGTAATAATGTTTTGTAATATTATCATTATCTGTAATAATCTTTTTCAGTAATAATTATTATCTGTAATTAATCTTTTTGTAATAATCCTTTTCTCTTATAATCATTTTTATGCTATAATCATTATTTGTAATAATCTTTTTTGTAACATTATCATTATCTGTAATAATCTTTACTGTTCTAAATTTTCAGAAATAATCTATAATAATTATTTTCTATTACAATGCTTTCCCGCTATAATCTTTCTTGCTATAATTGTTTTTCTGTAATAATCTTTTACTGTAATAATCTCTGAAATACTCCGTTTTCTTATAATATTCACTCTTTAACCTTAAATAATAATATTTTTGTAATAATCGTTTCTGTAATAATCTGTTCACCCATATTCCCATATAGCACTAACACATGGTGGTTGTAGGGCATAGACAAATATTTATACCTTATGTTGATTTTACAAATATACAAATGTACTGACAACAATTATGAGTGAAAGACTCGCCTTGAGTTTGATTAGAACCGCCACCCTCTTTTTTTTTTAAATATGGGTCAGCCATTTTTTAGATTGGTGAGCTAACAAAACTTATATTTCCAAGGCCTGGATGCCAGCTCATATACTCAAGTGAGAGAGAGACCTACAAGCAACATGTGCAGTCAAAGAACAAACAAAGTTCACTCATAGAACTGCACTGTTTACCATTTAAATGCAGTAGAAATAAGTGCAAAAAAGTTTGCAGTATCATGTGCATCTCTGCAACTAAGGAAAGGTAACATCTGCAATTTCTATGCAACCGCTTCTTTCAATTGACTTCAACATTAAGCCATGTGGTCAGCTTTATCTGTTTGTAATCTTGATATAATTACACCTTGTTTTTAATAACATAATCCAAGAAGAAGGGCATTGACACAGGCTTCAGAGATGGACATGGGAGGATGGTAGCAAGGGAATGAGAAAGTGGTTGATACATGTATGTGCATATTGAACAGTGAATTTTTCTTCTTTTTTTTTTTTTTTTTTTTTTTAAATTAGGTGATTTTTATATCCCAAACCGGAAAGAGATTTGTTCCTTTACCAAATAGTTGGCAAAAAGTATTTCTTTCATTCCTTCCATTCCATTAAAAAAAAAAAAGAAAACTTTAACAAGTGATTTATCAATGAAGGGATCATAAAATTTCACCTGTCATTTGTTCTTTTTTTTTGATTCATTTTCTTCATTTTTTGTTGAAAATATTTTCATTTAATTTTATATTCATTATATAATCTTTTTTTTTTCTTTGTCCTTGTTCTAGTCCCCATTTTTGTTCATCAGACGGCATTTGAAGGATCATATTTTTCTTTCTCTTCCAAAGGCAATGTCATTACTGTCCCTGTGAGAAGAAAGAAAGAAATCAAATCAAATCAGTAATGAAAATGCTATTGAAATCAGAAATTTGTTACTGTGCATAAATGTGTATTTGTAGATAGATAGATAGATAGATATAAACAGACTGAGATAGATATATAGATAGATAAGAATAGATTAAAAGAGATAGATGGATAAGAAGGAAAGAGCTAGATGTAGATAAATAGATAGAGAGAGAGAGGGAAAGATTAGAATAGATTGAATGAGAACAATACATAGATAAACAGAAGGAAAGAGACAGAAAGATTGAGATAGATAGATAGATAGATAGATAGATAGATAGATAGATAGATAAGAACAGAATGAAAGAGAGATAGATAAATGAGAATAGCATGAAAGTGAGAGACAGGTAAGAACAGAATTAATGAGATAGATAGATAGATAGATAGATAGATAGATAGATAGATAGATAGATAAGAACAAAATGAAAGCTACAGATAGATAGACAGGGCTGGTGCTAGGGTTTTGCCCCCTCTCCAAAACTTTAATACAGAGACCCCCCTTCCCTGTTACAAGTTGATTTTCCCAAAATTCAGAGAATTATCCAATGTAAATGAAAATTTCCATACATATTCATAAATTATATACTTTTATAATGAATTGTTTTTTTTGTTTAAAAAAAATCTGAGAAAATATTCTTTTTCTAATAACTACCAATATTTTCATGACTAAATTTTACTCGAAAAAAAATGTTTAAGTTACAAATTTTTACATTTCCATAACGATTAATCGTTGACACATCTCTGCTGAAAAAAAAGTTTTACAAAGATTACAACACAACACAAATGGGATTGCCGTAGAAATTTGTTTTAAAAACAGTATTTCAGTTTTCAGAAAAATTTTACATGTGTTGAAATCTAAACATTTTTATTTTTTAAGTAATCATTTTCTCAGTTTTATCTTTCTAGAAATGTAAAAAAATAAGGACTAGAAATTTTATTTAATTACTAGCTGTGGAATTCTCATTAGTATTACTATTAGTAAAAAAAAAAAAAAAAAGAGATCCTCCTTAGCACTATATATATATATATATATATATATATATATATATATATATATATATGCTGACATGAGGTGGAAGGATGACATTAAATCCGTTACTAGATCAGCTGCTAAGAAAGTCTTTTCCTGGAGCTCTCCAATAAGATCCAAAGAAGAATCAGCAATATTATTGGTCCTGATCTTACAACTCGGCTTCAGTCACTTGCCTACCACTGTAAAGTTGCCTCTCTGTGCCTTTTTATAAATTCTTTTGTGGTCGTGTTTGAATGTGTTCTTCGCTATGGTACCTAGACTGTATGAATTTAAGTGCAATACTAGATTGGTGGGCTGATTTCATCAATTTACAGTTGAGCTTGATAGATGTAGCTGTAACTTCTAGGCTAACAGTTTCTTATCCCGCACTTCTTGCTTGTGGAACTCCTTCAGACTCCATGCTTTCCAACCAACTTAATTTTGCAAAAATTTAAATGCAATGTCAATCACTATCTACTGTCCTGCTGATTACTTTTTTCTTTCCCCTCATTACTAATGTTTCTGTTCCTAATTCTTCCACATCCTGTAATGCTTTGCATGTTAGTGGTTGTACTGACTTGCTTGGGGTGATACCGATAAAAAAAAAAATCTTGTTCACCGATTGAGCACTTTGGAGAAAGTGTAATTTTATAAGAAATAGTGGCTGCTTCTGCTATTAACACATTGCTCTTCAGTTATGAATTGAGAGCTATTGCCTACTGGCATTTGTATACATCATGTATATAATACATTAAAAATTTCCCTTTCTCTGTCGTGTGCCGATAGCTTAGAACTGATGCCAAATTGGTCAAGTTTCGATCCTGACTTGAAATAATTGGATGTCTAGCCACACTGATGAGCTGTGATACAGTGAAATAGGCTTGTATGTGGATGACATAATTTAGCTCTTGAAAATATATTTCATTTGAGCACTGTTGAATGACAAGCTAATTCTACAAACTACAGCCACCTGCGTTAATGTGAAACTCTTCAGTTAAATGAATGGAGCACTCTGGCTGATTGGCATTTGTCTACATTTGTAAAAACAATATGCTAGATTTAGCAGCCTCATTCTGTTGAATGAAGGTAGCTTAGCAGTAGAAACTCTGACTAACACCAAATCAGTTGGGTTTCAATTCTGGCTTGAGGCATTTGGATGTCTAGTTGCACGGAAGAGCTGTGAAACAGTGCAATCTGTGAATGACATATATTTTAAGACATTTTATGTTTATACGTTCTTTTTATAGATACAAATATTTAAGTAAATGCTCTCTTTATAATAAATTTGATACGTCATGTGCAGATATGAATGTACGTGTGAGATTCATGGATGATTGAAGTTTAAAAGCAGAAAATTCGACCATGCCAACTGAATGATCCTCTGTGGCTGAATTGGTTAAAAGGCACATCAGGTTATATGACAGTTCTGTATAGGATACAGGTTCGAATCCTGTCAGAGGACGAATATTTTCTATGAAAATTTCTCAGACATGCAGGCCAGTAAATGTTGTTTAATACTGTTTATTATAAACAGAGCATTTACTTAAATATTTGTATCTATAAAAAGAACGTATAAACATGAAATGTCTTAAAATAATTGTCGGACTTTGTCCATTTCATAATGCGTGATGTCATATATATATATATATATATATATTATTGAATGTATGTGGATACCCATTGTGTTTTGTATACACTGTGTCAGATTTTATTATGCAAGTTAATTTTTTTTTACATAAAACTGTATTAACCAATTGATATTTGATAAAATTTCCAGAATATGTCAATTTTATTATGCAAACATTGACTTGCATATTAATGCTTGACAGAGGGTACATGCAAGGATTTGCTTAAAATTTACAGTTTGACCTACATACAAAAAATGAGTATTTGGCATTTGGTGATTGAAATATTGAATTTTGAGAAATTCTTCAGAACAAGAATCTAAAATTTACAAAGAACATTTATCTTATAAATACCAATATATCCTGAATGTTGGTTGGTTAATAATTTTAATCTGAAAACAGAGTAATTCTGGAAGGGGGATCAATTTATTACTTAATAACAATAGATAACCAATCCCCAAGTTAATATACAATAGAAACATTAATATTTAATGTAAATATATCTTTAAAATTTTTCCTACTTTTGGTTACTCAATAATATTTTTACTGGGAAAGCAGACTTGCATAATAAAATCTGCCATCATCTAGTAATTCTGGGAGGGGGATCAATTTATTACTTAATAACAATAGAAAACCAATCCCCAACTTAATATTCAATAGAAATATTAATATTTAATGTAAATATATCTTGAAACTTTTTCCTACTTTTGGTTACTTAATAATATTTTTACTGGGAACGCAGACTTGCATAATAAAATTGGATAGAGATTTCTCTCCAGATGTGTTTTTGAACTCGACAAGTGACTTACCTTGAGGTTCTGTAAAGATCACCATAGATCTCCGTGGATTGGAAGTTGATAAAGATTGTTTGTGGTTGATACAGCGTGGGCACATGAGTCCATGCTGAGAAAGTGAGAGTCTGCTTTGTGATGGTGTACTACTTTGGGAAGAGGAAAGGCAAACAGATGAGAGACGCTCTAAGGTTAACAGACGTGGCGTAGCTGGCAAAGGAAGAGACGGTGCAGGAGGGGGAACGGACTCGTCGATGTTATCCTCTACCCCTTCGTCCTCCTCTTCTGAAAGGGATGGGATTCGCTTGTTCACAACAGACAAAGCAGGTAGAGGGTTCGGGGGCGGTGCTGGGGAGGGGGGCGATGTGATATTTGGAGTCTTTTGCTGGGATGTTCTGACTAGCGGGGGTAGATAGTGAGAATGATTTGAATGCTGAGTACCTGTTGTACCTCGTCCTTTAGATAGCCTATAATGTTCCCAAATCTCTTCCCCTCTTCGGAGGCCGCTGAGGGCGCCAGCAAGAGGAGTAGCAGTCCCAGAAGTAACTTGTGTCGAAGATGGAAGCCCGTTCAATTTTAATTTTCCCCTTAATGAGGGTACAGAGTGCCGGTTACGCATACTAGCTGCATGCCGCCTCGATACTGTCCGTGAATGTCTGTGCCTGTGGTGGCTGGGTGACGAGAACTGTTTTGGGGGCTTGTTTGGGGGATAGTGTGGTGTGAATGTGCGGGTTTCATTAAAGGGTCTTATCACAGTATTGCTAGTAGTGTTGGGGGAGGATGAAGACGAAGAGTCATCTTTATCAGTGGGTAGGTCAGTTGGGGGTGGTGCCGGTGTGGGTGTTGAGTTGGTTAAAGAAGTTGATAGGACAGGGCTACACTTGGCTAGAATGTGACTAGTTTCGGAAGAAAAACTTTCATCACTTCCCGACATGGCAGACAGCTGACTCAGTGAATGTTCCGATGAAGCCTGACTTAGATTGCAAATGGATCTTTTCAATCCCCGACCTCCTGTTCGGTCATTATTGCTGCCAACCGACGTATCACTACTGCTGTTGTAGTCAAGGCAATATTCAACAGCCTTTTGACTCAACGTGTAGTGGTTGTCACGTTTTCTGTGTTGTGGTTGCTGCTGCTGCTGATGATGATGTTGTTGTTGGTGATGGTGGATATTATATTGACTTTTGTTTTGGTAATAATGCTGTTTGTGGATTTGAGTCTTTTGTGTACCAGTTAATACACTTGACTGATAGGAATTGTGATGTGCAGGGTGCAAAGCACGGTTTGAGCAGTCAGCCTTGGCACTCTCTGGCGTCTCACTTCGGTAGACATTTGAATCATAACTGCTCACATCACTCGGGTCTTTCATGTCTGTACTGCCATAAGTACTTTGGTTACTGTCTATAAACGTTGAATCACTCATGCGCCGACAACAATTACACTGCAAACTCTCATTACTCGGGTTTTGATCAGAACTGCAGCTGCCACACGTCGCCATTGTGCTTATATTGTTTTTACTCCCTGCAAACTCAGGGTCACTCTCCCATGAGTTAAGCCTTTTCGAAAGATAGAAGCGTGTGCGACCTAAGAACATAGGTGAACTGCACAAGTTATCTGAGGCGAGGGAAGTTGATGGTGTTTGGAACATGTGCACAAGTCCCGTGTTTGATGCCATTGAGGATGTGGCCATGCCTGTTGATGTAAAATTTGTGGCTGTGCTTGTAGAAGCTGTGGTTGTGGTTGTGGCAGCTGAGCTGACATGCCGCCCATACGATTTTGCCAGGTACAATGCCCGCTGAAGAGCATGTGCATAATCAAGACCTGAGGCACGGGTTTGCAGCGAATGCAGAAATGTGGAACGAGGTGGTGTGTTCACTGACGAATGGAAACCAGTGGCTGTCGTGGAAGCTCCAGCCATGGATGAAGTGGACGGAATCATTGAGGAACTGTTGACAGCATTGGTCCGCGTGCCTTCACATGAGGGGCAAGTATAGAGGAAGTTGTTCATAGTTCCTGATCGTGAAGTGCCTTGAACGGCAAATGTCTGAAAATAATCCATGTTGCATGAGTTCATGTTGACACCAGTGGAGTTACGGTTGTTGTGTGACTGGGGTCCTGATTTAGGCTGGTTGGGATTATGATAATAGTGGCTGTGGTGGTATTGATGGAGGTGATTGTTGTTGGAGCCACTACTTACGCCAACACCCTGGTTGACAGTTGTCGATGTAAGAGCATTGTTGGTGGAGGGAATGGGCCCATGAGGGCTATGCGGCTGGCTGTTAAGTGAACTGTGTTGCGACATTGCACCAGATGATGATGAAGATGATGAGTGAAAAGCTGAAAAATATATAAATAACAAAATCTCAAGAAAAAAACGTCTTTTTAATTTAATGTCATCGTTCCGTCAAATCTATTCTGAACACAATTATTACTGAAATTATTAATAAGAAAACAAAATATTATGCTTTTTCTGTTACTTATTTCACCCATCCCCAAGCATGGCAAAAATGCCACTAAGATGCAAGGGGTTACTGAAGGTGAAAGAATATGAGAAAAAGGGAAATATTATTAAGGAGAGAGAACAGGAATTAAGAAGACAAAAGATAATGATTAACATTGCATTTAAAATTTTGAAAATCAAAATTTACTGGGAATCAAGAAGCTGGAAGAGAGTTCCACAAGCGAGAAGTGCGAAAGAAGAAACTGTTAGCCTAGAACTTACAGTTACATCTAGCGGCCATTTCAACTTTAAAATGATGAGACCTTACCATCTACATCTAAATTCATAAAGTCTACATAGCATAAAGTTCATCAGAATAATTACTAAGAAAATATTTATAGAAAAGACACAGAGAAGCTATGTTATAGTGATGGCAAAGTGACTGAAGCTGAGATGCCAGGTTAGGATTAACAACATTGCAGATTCTTCTTTGTATTTTATCAAAAATCTCTAAAAACATAACAAAAGCGCCAGACCATATATGGCAGCAATATTCAATACATTGATGAATTCTTCAAGTTGCCCAATGATTTGGAGAAACTAAATTCCCTGATTATTCTAAGATTTTTCTGACCATTTCTTTCTGCTAGATGCTTGAAAGAGAAAAAATTATATACCAAGGTTGCTAAGATCTATGATAAGAATAAATATTTTATCCATAACGACTTTTATTATAATATATTTTTTATAATTTAGGCATATAGAACCACATTTGTCATCAGAGAAATTCATTTTTTTCTCTTGTGATATTGAAGAAGTATGTCTTTGTGGCTCTATTTATCTCAAATTTATTATTTATATCTTGAATTTATTATTTTATCTCAAATGTATTACTTTGTGGCGCTATTTATCCAAAATTATCTCAAATTTATTACTTTGTGGCTCTATTTATCTCAAATGTATTATTTTCCCTGATCTAGTTTTACAAAATTCTCCAACTTTTTTAACAGAGTTACTAATCACGCTAAATCTCCATCACATTTCCTTTCATTTGATGGATTTTTGCACCTTATCAACCTTTTTCAGGTTATTTAAAGCCAGAAAATATTTTTAGATTTTAATAATGTTTTTAGAGATCATAATGATTTACTGATACAAGTCCTACTAATTAACCCATATCTGGGGGACATTTATACCTTTCCCAAGGGTATTTGCACATAAGTGAATATAACTGTTGCAACCTAGGGAAGGTTACTGAATAGGATAATCACACAAAAGTTGGTAATGAATGATAATACTTAGGACAAGAACAACACATATAAGATTCACCAGCGTCGCGTAGAAGAAGTAGACAACTGCTAGAAGTGAGTCAAATGAATTCCACAATGAATCTCCAACTGCAGACCAACATACAGTATTTCCTACTGTATTTATGGGAATGGGGACACAGTCATTATCAACTGTAGCTATGCTACAACAATAACAAACCCTACTGGAACTGGAATTTGCTGTCCAATTTCCAATTCCAAGTCATTATCCATAACACCATCCATACATCCAAGTTTACAGCACCTGGTATTTCCAAGCAGTTACCCATCTAGGTACTGACAAGGCTTGACTGGAATTTAAACTTGACTCTCTGAATCCACAATCCAAGCCGCTAACCCTAACCCTCCACCATGCCTCCATGTTTCCCTTTGGTGATTGTATGAAAACCAGTGTTTCATCTTGAAATGGCCATAATCCTTGACATTTGCTGACATCCATTGACTTTGAGGGCATTTTCCATGTCTGCTTTCTGGGAATTGGCCACAGTATTCAATCCATGTAAAGAGCTGACTGACAGACATACAAATATAGAATTTTTTTTTAGATATAATATGAGAATATACTAGAACATCCTTTTCTCAAAATGTGTATTATTTTATCCACATATGATAGTTGGATTGATTGATTGATTTGTTTGTTTAATGCCATATCAATGCCTTATGGGTCATTTAATGCTGAAATTTAATTTTCTTGGGAGCTTGGAACTAATAAAAATATGACATGTTATTCTGCTTTCACAATTGGGTACATGGTAGATGATACTTAGCTTTTGTGCGTATACACATGTCTGTGGACATAATTACTAGAGCTGATGATATGTGCATTTTATGTTGTAGTTTTTTTTAACTTATATTTTAAAAAATAGTTTGATTTATTTAGGAAATTGTTATACTGGAATATTACCTATTCTATTGTAATAGACTCTCCCACACATAATAAGTAGTAGTATTAGTAGTAGCGGTCGCCAATTGAGCTCAGTGGAGTTGTGTGAGTCAGTCGATGTCGGACATTGAAGTATCAACGACCACAGCTAGATTGCTGTGTCATTAACTATTATTTCAAGTTCCTAACATTATGTACGTCGGACGCTTTTAGGACTGACTTAGCGAAATACAAGCCTCCACTGTGAAAACTACTCTACAACAGAAATTGTAGGATATTATATGGATTAATGTTGCAAAAGAGTTCCTTCATGTTGGTTGTTTGGTTTTGTTTGGTAGCATATCAACTGCTATGGGTTATTTAATGCCAAATATTTGCCCATAGCTAGGACCCTAACAGGTGCTACCACCCTAGGTCAGGGTGGACCTGGGAACAACAGTAATTAAGAGGTGGTTTCACACTCCTAAAAAACCTTCAATCTCCTACTCAGAGGCTTTACTCCTAGATGTAGTCTATCGTCATACACAGGACTTATGATAGTTGGATACTAAAATGTAACAATAATAAGACAGAGTAAATCTAGTAACAAAACAATAGTAATGAAGGAATTCCATACTGAATCCTTTATTTAATCTATAGGGTCATACTTTTCTCATTCCATTCCCCATGTCTAGGGATATCTTATTTAATACTACTTAGTTAATACTTGCTCCATTTTTCACTGAATCCAAGTACACAGTACCCAGCCCGGGAATGGAACTCACAAAAATATAATAGTATTGTTGCAGCATACCTATGGACAATAATGAGTATGTACCCATTCACATAAATACAGTAGTAAATACTGTATGTTGGCCTGCAGTTGGAGATTCATCTCCAGCTGTGCTGGTCAAACTCTCCGCCTCCAGGCAGAGAGGATCCCCAGATGAAGCTATGTCGAAGGGCAGAGTCTTGTCTCGGGAAACAGCTACCCGACCCCATTTTATATGTGGAATTTTTTGCCAAGCCTATGGGGTCGGATACCCCACATTAAATTCGGCCTTGTGCCACATCTGACCAGGTGGGGTGGTTACTAGATATCTTGTAGTTGGAGATTCATTGTGGAATTCACTTGACTCACTTCTAGCAGTTGATTACTTCTTCTACACACCGCTCATAAATCTTGTATGAGTTGTTCATGTTCTAAATATTATCATTCATTACCAACCTTCGTGTGATTATTCAGTAACCTTCTCTAGGTTACAACAAGTATTTACCATAATAATGAAGAGTGTATTGACATAGAGGCTTGTGATGAATAGTAAAAATACAATAGGGTAAAATTAGTAATGAAATAGACTAGTAGTCATAGTGCAAGCAAAAATTCTAAAGACAAATTGTACAATTTGTACTTGGTTATAGAAAGGTAACAATCTTAAAAGTGATCATTACAGTGTGCGTGATAAGGACATCTTTGAGTTATTAAAAACATGACAAGACAATTAGAATTGTTTTGATAGGGATCCTACGAATAGAGAAAGTAGTACACCTTTTTTCTTATCAAAACTCTTTTTATGAAGTAATTAAATTAGTTATCGCCTCCCCTTTTTAAAGTGGGCAGTCTGTAACTCTACATGATATGAGACATGAGTTAAGGAATGCCAATATATCAGGTCATCCCATAAGTTCTGTCCGAATTTTAACTTTTTGTTAAAATGAACGAAATTTAAAGAGTATTTTATAATGTCTAATGGAGCTGAACATTATTTTTATGTTTAGATGCATTTAAACTGATCAAATTTTATTTCTGAGAACAATAAAATTAAATTTTGTTTGATTAAAACCCTGCTAACATGGAAGTACCCAAGAATCATTTGAGGCACATAATGCTTTATGAGTTCAAGAAAGGAAACTCAGCAGCCGAAGCGGCTAGAAACATTCACTCAGATTATGGAGAGGAATGTGTGAATGAAAGAACTTGTAGAAGATGGTTTGCAAAATTCAGAGGTGGTTCTCAGTTGAAACCATACAACTGTTCATCGTCATCTTCAACAACTTGGAAAAGTTCCTAAACTTGGAAAATGGGTGCCTCATGAATTGACTGAAAACAACCTTAAATCCTGAGTTGACATCTGCTCTTCTCTCCATTCTTGCCAACATGTTTCACCTTTTTTGGATAGACTTGTGACTGGTGACGAAAAATGGATCTTTTATCGAAATGTTAAGCGTCGTAGACAGTGGCTTGGTAAAGGGGAAGGACCCCAGCCACAGCCGAGAAGGGAACTTCATGGGCAAAAGGTTCTTCTTTCAATCTGGTGGGATCACCAAGGAATAATACACTTTGAATTCTTACCACCTAATGCAACAATTAATGCTCAAATATACTGTCAACAATTAGAGCATTTGAACCAAGCTTCGAGGAAAAAAAGACCTACTCTAGTGAATCGAAAAGAGGTGATGTTTCATCAGGACAATGCGCAACCACACAGCAAGAATCACGTCACAAAAGATCGAAGAACTTGGTTGGGAGAAAATTCCTCATCCACATTATTCTCCCGATCTTGCTCCTTCAGACTACCATTTGTTTCGTAGCTTACAGAATCATTTGGCAGAAACAGCTTTTGTAACACAGGAAGAGGTTAAAACTGACATTTGTGAGTTCTTTGAATCAAAGCCAAAATAATTTTACAGTAATGGAATTAGTAAGCTTGTTAATAGATGGAAGGAAGTCATAGATAATCAGGGAAAATAGATTGTTGATTGAATCTGTAATTAAATGTAACATTTGGTCACTTGTTTTCTTTATTCAAAATTCGGACAGAACTTATGGGATGACCTGATAAAATAGTACCTATTTTTTTTTTAACCATGAGGCTGAAAAAAGTGGACATGAATTTGAATTGCATTTACTTACCCATAATATTATGCAAGCACAATGGACAAGTGCGGTTTGTTACCAGCCAGGGGTCCACGCAGTTTCGATGAAACTCATGCTGACAAGGTAGAACACGTAACTCCTGTACAAGTAGACAGAAAGGATTAAATATTTTTTTTTTAAAATATCTTTACCATAACAAAGATTGTGCTTAAAGAAATAAAAAATAATTGGTCAGTTGAAACTTTTTAAGGCAAGCACTCTTTGTAATTACAGCACCCAATACTAAGTAAAAGAGCATTAATAGTAATCGTACTTATTATAAAACCCATGTGTGTGTGTGTCTGTTCGTTTATATATTGGATCAGATTTCCTACATTTTTCAACCGATTTCAACAAAACTTCACAGGACTACATAAAATTTCCTTGCGGTGGTTCTAACAGCACCAAAAATTGAAAAACACAATTGTTTTTGCATGAAATCAATTTGAAAACACGAAAGAGGCATCGCTCTCACAAGAATGAAAGGGGGACAACTCACATCGAGTTATACTTATAAAACCCAGGTTGTTTGTGTGTGTGTGTGTGTGTGTGTGTGTGTGTGTGTGTGTTCATTTATATATGGGATCGGATTTCCTACATTTTTCAACCAATTTCAACAAAATTTCACTTTTTTTTTGGCAGGTAGTGTTTCTTATTGTCTTGCACACTTTTTTCTTTATTTTTGACATTCAGAATGCTTTAAAAATTCCATTTATAAGACAATTGTTTATAATAAAATTCTATTCAATCGGTAGACTCATAACGATTGAAAACAATGTTTTTGTTTCAGTTTGGGTTTGACCAATTCGTAAAAAAAAACCAAAAAAAAACAAAAAAAAAATAATTAAGACATGCGTGTCCGTCAACCTTAAACAATACTCTTTGTCAATTTTATTTTTCAGTCTTTATGATGGCCGATACTGGATCTATCTCTTACTGTTACATCCCCAGGCAACGCTGGGCTCTAATGCTAGTCAATAATAAAATTAAATGTTCACTTATCTTGTCTCTTAAAATCATGATTGACTTGATGTAAGTACAAATAGAACACAACTCCAATAATATAAACTGTAACCATACTTGCATCAAATCAGACATGTTTTTATATATTGCAATGATATTCAATAAATTAAGAAAAGTTAAAGTGACTTATCTGGTTAGCTGACTGAAGAGTTTTGCATTCAAATGCTCATCAAGACCAGATATTTGAGAAAGCTATTGAACTTATTATCAGATCCCATATTTATACTTCTTTCTGAATGAATGAATGCTAATTATAACTTTCGAATTTAATTTCTGTTTGAATATCTGGGATGATGAGTTTTTCACAAAATTACCTGAGTAGGCATCTGCTGGGATTGTCTAGACATCCTAGTAGACAAGCATACTCAGATACTAGCAGCCAAAATTATATATATATATATATATATATATATATATATATATATATATATATATATATATATATATATATATAAATTGAATATGTAATTAATCAAGTAATTTAAAATAAGCAAATAAATTACTGATAAGTTTGTATATTTAGAAATTTGCAGAGATGACAAAATGATATATACATGTTTGTGTGTGTGCATAGAAAAAAATGACAGCTTCTAAATTTAAACCTTGTGACAGTTCTAATGTGTTAAGAATTTCAAATTTGCAATTTGAAAGTTAGAATTTGAAAGTTGAATACATTTATCAAATATCTGGCCTTGATGAGCATTTTGATGGAAAACTAAAATGACTAGCCAGACAGGTCACTTGAACTTTACCTAATTTATTAAATATTACAAGTTTAGTTATCTACTGAGCACTTTTTGGCAGAAGCTCTGCTCGCCTGAAAAAATATATAGAACACTTGTAGTTTTCAAGCATGTTCTCAATTGTATTATTATTATTATTATATTTTCTTTGATTTCTAGTGTATACTCATTTCTTTCCAAGTCCTGACCAGAGACCTAAGGTCAGGAATGGCTTCATGGCATTTTCTATTGAGCAGTTTTGAAAAAAAAATCACACATATTTTACATAGATAAAGCCCTTTGTAAGGTGTGGGATGTACTTGTGAGAACAATTTTTTGTATTTCTTTAAGGCATGGTCTACTAGGAATCCCTTCAATAAGTATATTTGGAATATTTTTCAATCAATTCGAAGGTTCTAACTCCAACTTGAATTGTTAATGTCATCATGTGCCACACTTTTGAGATTTCAATTTCAAGGTCCTTGTATTTTGATAGTCTTTTGAAGATCTTCAAAGATACATTGCAGTCTGCAGGGACTGTCATGTCAATAAGGAGGCACATTTTATCTTTTCAGTTTCTAATCACGATGTCAGGGCGATTAGCTTTGATTGTTCTGTCTCTGTGTATTGTAAAATCCCATAAAATTATTACGAGTCCTATTTCCATAACCAGATCTGGGTGGTGTTCATACCAATTTCTTGCAGTTTTCTTCTTGTAAAAGTTGCAGATTTTCCAGTGCAGATATTGGCCTAATCTGTCGTGTCAAGTTTTATATTTAGTGTGTGCCAATACTGTGCAACCTGATACAAGATGATCAGTTGTTTCTGGATATTTATCACAGAATCTGCTTTTTGGGTTAACACAATTTTCCAGTATGTGAGCTTGATAATTTCTAGTTAGCAAGTATTGGCCCTGTGCAGCAAGAATAAAACCTTCACTTTCAGTGTTAACCCTGCACTACATAGCCACTTGATGGGTACAGGGGTTTGCCTACATCAGCTTGTTTGGTATGGGCGAAGTATTGAACTTGAAATGGTTTATCTTACCATCGTTTCTGTATCTGGTTGGTTGCATTTGCCTTTGCTTTCTTTTTTAAGTATTTTGTATCTGTCTTCAGTACATTTATTATTTACCACAAAAGTTGTATTAATAAAAAAGAAAATATAATGTATATATAACTGAACAGTTTCAAATTAGTTTATATCATAGAAGAATATCTTTGAAGAAAGTTTATGTCATAAAGTTTATGTCATAGAAGAATGTCTTTGAAGAAAGTTTATGTCATAAAGTTTATGTCATAGAAGAATGTCTTTGAAGAAAGTTTATGTCATAAAGTTTATGTCATAGAAGAATGTCTTTGAAGAAAGTTTATGTCATAAAGTTTATGTCATAGAAGAATGTCTTTGAAGAAAGTTTATGTCATAAAGTTTATGTCATAGAAGAATGTCTTTGAAGAAAGTTTATGTCATAAAGTTTATGTCATAGAAGAATGTCTTTGAAGAAAGTTTATGTCATAAAGTAACCTCATAACATTCTCTAATAGAAAATATGATTTCTGAAAATAAAATTTTTTACAATCTAGTCTCATGAGCAGTGGAAATGCAGAATAGAAAAAAGATAAGTGAACATTTAATTTTATTATATAAAATATATATATATATATATATATATATATATATATATATATATATATAATAAAATTAAATGTTCACTTATCTTTTTTTCTGTTATGATGGAATCATATTTAAAAAAAATAATTATATATATATATATATAATTATTTTTTAAAATATGATTCCATCTGTGCTGTGATGGAATCATATTTAAAAAAATAATTATATATATATATATATATATATATATATATATATATATATATATATATATATAATTTTTTTAAAAATATGATTCCATCATAGGCAGAAATTACTATGTTTTAAACTGGTCTGCAGTATTCAAGTTTAATTTTATTATTAAACCTTAACTACTGGTGGCACTCTCAAGCAATGTTTGGAATAACTATGCTATGGAATGTTTTACTCATTTATAGTTTTGAAATGGAGGTGTGATCTAGGGTTTGTTTTACATTATCAAGGGTTCACTGCTTTGATGGAAGTTGGGGTGTTTGTTATATGTCAAGTTTTTGGACTCGTGTAAGGTTGGGTTGGGATTTTTTTTTTCTGGCTACAATGGTTAATCTTATCAGATTCCCTCTTAAAACTCTAACTGATTGATGTTTTAGTTCCGGTAGTTTTTGGTGTTTATTTATTTGTTTTTTTGACAATAAAATTAAATGTTGACTATATATATATATATATATATATATATATATATATATATGTCACACATTATGAAATGGACAAAGTCCAACAATTATTTTAAGACATTTTTATGTTTATACATTCTTTTTATAGATACAAATATTTAAGTAAGGCATCCGGACAAGGCATGGTACCCAAATGGACGAAATAAAGTGTTCGGTTCAAAATTCCAATCACATGAAGAAGGCCAGTGTATACAACAGCCGAAACATTATGAATATTGCAATGAAGATGAGTATATACCAGTCCAAATAATGTAAATAATCATGATACCTCATCTCAGTGATATAGACAGAATGTTGTATGTAATGTTACAGCTTTAGATACTTCCTCTAAAGAGTTCCATAAGTAGCTTCATAAATGAAGTCCAAACATCAGCTTTAGAACTCTACAGAAACCATGTCTATTTGGATTAACGAGAGCGCTAAGGTATGCGCTGACCATCTGAGGTTGCAGATTTTTAATCTGACAATATTTTTTTTATTAACAAATGACAAGTACAAGTACAAATGCTAGATATTTCATTCAGATATTTCAAAGATAATCTTAGTAATCATTTATGCATTAAACACATCCAATCACCAATGCATAAGTTTAAAAATAATTTCCTCTTAAAAAATGTGCACTTGAATCTGGAAGAAAAAAACTGCCATAAAAAAATATGGTTCTATGAAAGAGGCCTTTTGCAAATATTATGTTGCACTTCTGAAACCAATAATATATGTGGGAATACCTGCTGTGTGTGAAAATGTGAAGGGTTCTTGATGTGGATTTTTTGGGGACGTAAAGAGGGGGTGAAGAGTAGAAGACATTATTTCAGGGTTCTAATAATGACTTCAAATTGTTTCAATCTACAGGTGGACCATATGGATTGTTTGTGCAGGTAACATTTCAGGAAATCAAATATTAAATAAAATGTGCAAGAAAACAAGTATTAAATAAAATGAAAATAAAAATGACATTGCTGCTATATCAAATATTCTATCTATCTATCTATCTATCTATCTATCTATCTATATATATATATATATATATATATATATATATATATATATAATAAAAAGGTTTAACACTAATATTCCACGGTCATAATTTATATAATAATATGTTAGAGCTATAGAGAGGGGTAACAGATGAGAGAAGAACAGGAGAAGACCATTCGTCCCACACTCTCATACATATACTCTCACTAAATTTTATTTTTTATTCCCGGAGTTGTTTTTTCTGTTTTCTTTTTGAATTTTTAGGTCTGATGAATTGGATCGTATTTACGATTCCAATGAAATAAATTATGACCATGGAATATTAGTGCTTAAGCCTTTTTATTATATCCTTACTTTGTCCTGGACATTGAGTTCTCCCTGGATTCTATCCTCTTGGAATTATTTTTTTATACAAATATATATATATGTATGTGTATGCATGTATGTATATATATATATTTATATATTTTGCATATGTATGTGTATATTTACCACTAATATTATCTATATATATAGTGATGTATGTTCTTTTTTAAGGATTTATTTATTTATGTGTTGCACTATCTTCTGGTTTCCAGTTCATGTTTCAAAAGAAATTGTCTACTGTCTGAGTAATTTCGACATTATCAAATAATTTTTTACTTTTCAAATATTGTGCCTTCATTTGTCATGTCACATGAAAATGTGATATCTTATAAAAACTAATATGACACATGGGGACATGATATTTGAAAAACAACAAAGCTGATATAGGATGCACGCATAAAATTAAAACAAGAACATATTTATACTTAGTCCAAATTTTAAAAAATAATTCATATTTTCATTCCATACATTTTTTTTTACTTATACCATTTTCATGCGGACTATTGTCCTCATCATTGTTGCTATCATTACATTTCGACCTTCATCAGGTGATTGTCGATCAAGGTGATCTTCAGAGAATTTCGAACTGAAGCCATTATTTAATTTACGGGGGTAAATTGTTCTTGCTCTCTATCCCTGTAGATTAAATAAAGAGTTGAGTTCAAAATTCACTGACTGTTACCCAGATTGATAAGCACCTGAGGGCACAACAGCCAAAACGTTCTGCTAATAACATAAAAAATAAGGACAATAGTCCACATACAAATAAATAATTCCAGAAATTCAGACAGATATTTTCTTTCTTAAAAAGATTTTTCTACCTATCTTATATAATAAGTAATGTTTTACTTGTGCAGCTTTATTCAGCTAAACTTTGCATATGTTAAAAAGCATCTGGTTACATACTTATATATTAGGAGAGTGCTACTAAGAGGAAGTAATTACTGTTGTTGCATGATTGATTTGTTTTTTACAGTTTATCAACCTTTTGTAGGTTATTTAAAGCCAGAAAATATTTTTAGATTTTCAGAAGGTTTTGGAGATCATGATGATTTTTAATAATACAAATTCTGATTAATTAACACATCATTATCATCATCATCTTTTGACCTCCCTCTGGTTGTTCGGTCATGCACTGCCGGTCACAATGTCCAACCCTGAGTCCTGAGCCATGGTGTCTGAGAAAGGCAACTTTTGTGAGAAAACACCTGCAGAAGGATGCCACAGAAGTAAGGATGAGACAACCTCCCCATCCGCTCGGTGTCAGTAACCGGCAAACAGTAATCATTTTTGTTTGAGCTTAGGAGAAATTGGGCTCAGTTCTTCACAAATTGTGTTAAGCGTTGCATGGGATCTCCAACTGATATTCTGGATTTTTCTAAGTAGATTTATCTATGTTCCATTCAGTCATCTCTCAAGATGAACAGTTAATGTCCAAGTTTATGATCTACACATAGTTGGGTGGAGTAGAAGTGAATTCATACCTTTCCCAAGGGTATTTGCATGTAAGCAAAAATAATGAACTGGACTGGAATTGGAACTCAGCTCTTTGACTTGCAATTCCAAAGTGTTATCCATTACACCATTCGCACATTCAAGATTACAGTACCTGGTATTACTAAGTAGTCAACCACCCATCTCAGTGTTGATGAGGCTCAATGTTGCTTAAATTCACTGATCTCACGAGAACTGGTATTTCATCATGATATGGCTGTAAGCCGCTGTCGTTACAACTACTTTATAATTCCTTAATATTACCTTTTATTTAATTAATTCACCCCAAGCAAGGCAATAATGCCACTAAGATGCAAGGGGCTATTGTGAGTGAAAGAAAATACAAAGACTTTAGAAGGAACTGGAAACACAATCCTAAATAGTTAACAAGGTCTTTTTGTTTTTAAGAGGAGGTAGGTATGTGAACCAGATGATAGGTGGACTTATCTACTCCTAAATTTTTCCCATTCTAAGTGTTCACTTCCTTGGAAAATGTAATCATTTTCCTACAATAAGGAGATTAGTCATTTCTATAAAGGAAACAATCTGCTTTTATTGACTGAACAGTTAGTGTTACTGTTTGTTGAAATTTATACAGTCTTTCTCTTAAAAGAGTTTTTCAGGAAAATAGGTTTCTCAGTCCAGTTTTTTGCTCTTTCTAATAGTGATGAGAGTTTCTTTCCTAACGTTCTTTGTATAAGGCAGTGTGGAAACCCAACATCTTGATTATATCATTATTTTCCCTGCTTACATGTGCTATTCATTTTAGTTGTTACTGCTGTTGAAAGTCCTCAAGCGATGCAATTTTGTTAATTGGTAAAGTTCTTTGCTATTTGATAATAATCTATGAGATCCGATGGGGTTGTGTAGACGGTTAATTTGCTTGAAGCCATTTTTAATGATTGATTTGAGAAAACGTTTGTATAGAGATGATAGTTTAGACATTTCTGAATGAGTTGGATGCCATACATGACATCCATAAAAGAGTCTAGATCTGATGAGGCTATTTAAGAACACCACTTGAATTGGTTGTATAGAGATGATAGTTTAGACATTTCTGAATGAGTTGGATGCCATACATGACATCCATAAAAGAGTCTAGATCTGATGAGGCTATTTAAGAACACCACTTGAATTGGTTGTATAGAGATGATAGTTTAGACATTTCTGAATGAGTTGGATGCCATACATGACATCCATAAAAAAGAGTCTAGATCTGATGAGGCTATTTAAGAACACCACTTGAATTGGTTGTATAGAGATGATAGTTTAGACATTTCTGAATGAGTTGGATGCCATACATGACATCCATAAAAGAGTCTAGATCTGATGAGGCTATTTAAGAACACGATTTGAATTGGTTGTATAGAGATGATAGTTTAGACATTTCTGAATGAGTTGGATGCCATACATGACATCCATAAAAGAGTCTAGATCTGATGAGGCTATTTAAGAACACGATTTGAATTGGTTGTATAGAGATGATAGTTTAGACATTTCTGAATGAGTTGGATGCCATACATGACATCCATAAAAGAGTCTAGATCTGATGAGGCTATTTAAGAACACGATTTGAATTGGTTGTATAGAGATGATAGTTTAGACATTTCTGAATGAGTTGGATGCCATACATGACATCCATAAAAGAGTCTAGATCTGATGAGGCTATTTAAGAACACTATTTGAATTGGTTGTATAGAGATGATAGTTTAGACATTTCTGAATGAGTTGGATGCCATACATGACATCCATAAAAGAGTCTAGATCTGATGAGGCTATTTAAGAACACCACTTGAATTGGTTGTATAGAGATGATAGTTTAGACATTTCTGAATGAGTTGGATGCCATGCATGACATCCATGTGAAAATCTAGATCTGACGAGGTTAATTAAGACATTGACTAGAGTTCTTAAGTGAATATTTTAGTTTTTTAATGTGTTGGAAAAGACTACCTGTAGTGCAACCTAACCTGTATTCACTTTTCTTCATCTCCTTTAAATTGATTAGAACTGATCTTGACACTGAGTTATTGGAAGTGCATGTGAAAATGAGTGTTAGTTTGATCAGGACTTATTCTGATGGTTTCTCCTGCTAAAAATAATTTTTTTCGATACTGACAAAACATTGTTTTGATCGATATAGCAACTGATTAATCAATCATTCGATATAGTAATTTATTTCGTTGACTGAAATTTTCGGTGACAAAGTTACGTACCTGACCATTTTTATAGTCCTCAAGGCAAATGGCGCAAGTGTCAATTCCAGAACTCTGACTGTAAAGATCAGAGGTTGGAGTGTATGGACGCTGAGATTTCATTTTGTTCCCAGTGTACTTTCGTGTCTCCAGTTTTGAGACGGCTCGCTTGGCTAACTCTGAGACTGACGTCTGAAAAGAAACGAGAATGAGAGAGAGAGAGACACACACACACACACACACACATACATGCACACACCACACAAAGATTGGTGTGGGGTAAGAAAATCTTTAATAACTGCACAGTATTTTGATAATTACTGCACTTTAATGGAGTTTTGATATTGGCGTATGATAAAATTGAGTCACGTCAAGATCAAAGTCTATATTTGCATATAATAAAATCAAGCCACGTAGAGCTCAAAGTTAATATTGATGTACAATAAAATAGAACTGTGTAGATCTAAAAGTTCATATTGGCATATGATAAAATCAAGTTGCATAAGAGCTCAAAGTTTATATTAGCATGCAATAAAATCAAGCCACGTAGAGCTCAAAGTTAATATTGATGTACAATAAAATAGAACTGTGTAGATCTAAAAGTTCATATTGGCATATGATAAAATCAAGTTGCATAAGAGCTCAAAGTTTATATTAGCATGCAAAAAATCAAGCCAATGTAGAGCTCAAAGTTAATATTGATGTACAATAAAATAGAACTGTGTAGATCTAAAAGTTCATATTGGCATATGATAAAAAATCAAGTTGCATAAGAGCTCAAAGTTTATATTAGCATGCAATAAAATCAAGCCACGTAGAGCTCAAAGTTAATATTGATGTACAATAAAATAGAACTGTGTAGATCTAAAAGTTCATATTGGCATATGATAAAATTGAGTTGCATAACAGCTCAAAGTTCATATTAGCATGCAATAAAATCAAGCGATGTCCAACTCAAATTTGCAAAATACCATTTTAGATTTGAAAAGGAATGACCTAGAATTATTATTTTCTATTTGTCACAACTGATAATGGATATAGAGCCCACCTTTTTTAAAACGGGAAGTAATACAGTGGCTCAGATTGAGGAATTGGAGAGCCGAGTTCGAATTCCAGTCGAACCCATTACATTCACTTATGTGCTAATACGTAAGATATGAATCCTCTTCTTCTCCCCCCAGCTATGGGTAAATAGCAGGATAGACCGGGTTCTTTCGCCTTGGATGGCAACTGGTCTACCGCAGAAAGAAATGGCAACCTACTGTGGGGAAAAAATCTGCCTCGTCAGTCATATATCAAAAGATACATGATCGCTTAAGCTTTTATCACACATAACTGACTGAAGTAATACAGAAAATAGAAAAGTTACATCCCCACAAAAAAAGGAAAACTTATCTACTCTTTAGCCCTTGAACCATGTTGAACGAACTCTGATGTAGAGTGACTAATAACAATTTAGTTTCTCTGTTGTTAGTAAGTTTGGTCTTCTATCCTAGCTTAGTCCAATAGATTTATGTTGAGCGTTGTGAATTCATGAAAAGATAATTCATTCAGTTTCCGGTAATTAAATAACCAAAAAACGTCATTATTTGGCCAAAGAAATTATTTTGAGAATTCCCTTAGTTTACAGTCTTAATTATTAGCAGGAGAAATATTAAAATACTGTACGTTTTATTTACATTATTCGGACTATTGTCCTCATCTTTGTCGCCATATTTATCACAACGTTTCGGCCGTTCTACGCTCCGGCCTTCTTCAGGTGGTTGGAATTTCGAACTGAACCCTTTATTTCGCTCACTGGGGGAGACTGTTCTAGTTCCACGTGCCATGTTTGATGGATGTCAGTTATAAGTTATCTCCTGCTAATTTCCCTCTGAAAGTTCTCCACTACCTTAACCGGGTATTGAACTCATACTCTTTAGGTCCTGTCACTGAATCTAACCAACGCCTTTATCCACTGTGCCATGTGTCCTTGAGGACACATGGCACAGTCGATAAAGGGTTCAGTTCGAAATTCCAACCACCTGAAGAAGGCCGGAGCGTAGAACGGCCGAAACGTTGTGATAAATATGGCGACAAAGATGAGGACAATAGTCCGAATAATGTAAATAATGTACATAATACCTCATCTCAGAAATATAGACAGACACTGTACGTTTTATTATAATTATGCTTGTCCGTCGCTACGTTAATTAGCGCGACCATTATGTCCTGCCAATACCTCATAAATAATGGACTATTCCACGTTTTGACCGCGTGGAAAGAGGGGAAAAGACATTGCTTGGTTTCAGTGATAAAATGGAAGAAAGAAGGGAAGATCGAAGTGGAGAAGAAGATTGCATTTTCTTGCCGCTCCAGGCTGGCAAGATGTGACAGTTTAATGTCGGGAGCCCAAGACCTCGGACCAGGTCCAAAAATAGCCCAGCCCCTGTAACCGTCGGTTATGCTGGCATTGGTATTACTATCAATCCCTTGCCTCTTTAGTGCAATGAGGGAGATACTGCCGTGGGTAGCTGTTTCCCAGAAATCGGGCACCTCTCAATAACATTTCAGTTGCGTCCGAGAACAGAGACATAACTGAGAGATGACATTTAGTTTATCTGCTCGAGGGCAATACTACACTTTGATCCCAGCCAAAAGGCAGAGGAATAATGGCGACCGCGATAAAACCGCCATTTTTCAGACGCACAGTAACGAACGATAGAAACCGAGTAAGCAATCGCCAAAAATTCAGTTAACGATAATATAGGCAGATAATGACATGTTTAGGCTACTTAGGTATTTTACAAGGATAAAAATGTACTGACTGCAAGGGCCTAGGAAAAATGCATTGCACCAATGTTTTAAAGTGTGATATAGCTAGCGGCATTGAATAGGTGGTTTTGACTAATATGCCAACCACCGCACCGGGAGGAGAACGAAATAACGTTCCAGCCATTGAGCAAGTGGAATTACTATGTTCATAGCGTTTCGTTAAGATCTGTGTGTAGTTAATATCTAGGCTTTTGTATGTGTCTTGTGTTGTGCGCATGCGTCTATGGTATCTCAGTGTTTGAAAAAGAGTGTCAAAAATGATCGCACGAAATCAGAAAGTTAGACGAAGGCCGCAGCTTACCTGTCTCTCTCGGCGAAATTTCCACTGAAAGAAATCAAAAGAGTACAAAATAGTAATTGTTGAAAGAATTGGTTGACAGAGTACCAAACTTTAAACACAACCTAAAATCTTTAAATTTGCATATGACTTTAACATGAAATAAAGTTAACATTGGAGAATTTGCTTGGCATTAGCAGGCTCGGTTCAAATTAACTGATGTTAACAAAATAAATGATAAAAAAGAGTATATCTCACAAATTACTAGGTTGAGTCATAAGTAATTTCAGTTTTGGAGAACTAATTGTAATGACCAATGTATGATTTTAACTAGTAATCACATGGGACAGTTAAAAATAAATCTGGAGTATATTAATATACCTTAGTGCTTACACAGCAGTGGCCTCATACACAGTATATTAAAGGAAAATATATTGCTCTTGTCAATGATAATGCAAGGCTGCTGCATACAACGAGAACAACACAGGAAAAAAGTTTGGAACTCGGTTGGTCTGTTCTACCTAACCAGGAATATCCTTTGATGGGAAAAGAAATCCTCGAATTTAAACCAGATTCGGGAGTTTGTTGAAGACTTTTTTTTCACGTAAAAGCCATTGGTATTTTACTCAAAAGGTATCAAAGAGCTGCCTGATAAGATGCAACAAGCCATTGCCGGCAATGGCGAATATATAATTGAATAAAATGCAATTGTACTATACTTTTTGAATAATAAAGTTGATAGTCAAAAACGGAAATTATGCATTACCAAATATAACACTGCTGTTTTTTGATGGCATGTTAGACACCCCACTACTTTTACCCAAAAACTGGTTTTAAAAAATATCTCCCGTGGAAAAGCACCGAGACTTGCGCCTTGGGACACACGGACATAGCGTAGTTTTAATTTCTCTAGTTTTAACTATCAACAAGAGATTCAGGATTGCAGTTGAACACTTCAAAACCTATTCTATCTTCTTGCTTGTGGAACTCTCTTCCGCATTCTTGCTTTCCAGTCAATTTTGATCTTGAAAACTTTAAATGCAATGCCAATCGTTATCTTCTGTCTTCTTAATTCCTGTTCGTTTATTGATCTCCATAATAATGTTTTCTTTTTCTCATGATCTCTCACACCCAGTAACTTCGTCTTTCTTATTGGCTTTATTGCCTTGTTTGGGGTGAAATGATTAAAAAAAAAAAGGGAGAAAATCGAAAATAGCTTTCAATGTTTTGTATTTCGCAGTTATAGAGGCAGCATGTACCCTGAATAGCAAGAATGGAACCGCCAAACTTCTTCCTCTAGAACTAGACTCAGTATATCAGCATCACGTCGCCATAACTCCAAAATTTGTGCTTTATCTTGGTTTATGTTGTGCATTTGTTAACAAGATTTATTCCAAAGTATCAGAAAATCCTGAGACAGCACGTAAAGATGCTCTGCTTAGCTTAAAACTTGACGCCATTATGCATTTCATCTGTGGCGAACGAAATAAGGACATTTTCTTTTAGGCGGAATAGGAACGCTAAACTCTTTTCCAGTATAAATTAATACTAATTGCTTTTTCGCTTAACATTTCAGGTTACGAATGGTTTTGTAGGAAGTCTCTACATTCGAATAACGAGGAAAACTGCAAAATATATTGCATTCTTAGCCAGTGACTGTTCTTCAGTTTAAATCTCCAACCTATCCATGAGAGAAACTCAGACCGGCATTCAAAATTGGTTTTCTGGTGCTATATTGTTATTCGATCCTTGTAGTCCTTGCTAATAATTTTTACTCCCAAATAAATAACTTAAATTCTATGATCAACTGGGATTATCATCGACGAACCCGGCTTCGTTATTGCTGATCTTTGGTGTCAACTGTCAAAGATAATCTAGATGGACTCTTTTTTCTTTCGGAGACCTACTGACTATCAGTTCTGTCAGAATTGTCAGCCAAATAGATGGAGTCCCGATCTTCTGTAAAACGGCTGGCAATGTAAAAAAAAAGGACGATGTTATTTTTATTTATTTTTTAAAAAATATTTTCCCAAGTCATCACGGATATCCGCGAACGTTTTGGTAAAATCAAAAGAATTATTTAAGGAAGCTTCTCGGGCGATATCTAAAGAATGCACCAACAAGTCTTCTGGTGATGATTACATTGAAAAGAGAAGACATTAAAAGAAAAAATATGCTATCGAACTTGTGTTTGGTACGATGTTCAGTCAATATCGGTTCACAGGACCTGGTTTGGGCCGTTTTCTTTATGGATTATCATCCTTTTCCAGGAAACTTAATGCCAAATTCTGTAGTTTTTATAAACAGTACAAAGGTATACATAGGTCTGGTTTACACGACATTTAAAAGGTAGATATAGGTTTGGTTTTCGAGAGCTAAAAGCGTAAACATCGATAGAACAAGCATAGGTCGGGTTGGCAAGTGAATCAAAAAGATAGACAATAGTCGGGTTTGCAATCAAGTCAAAAAGGTATGCATAGATCTAGTTTGCACGCGAGTCAAAAAGGTCAGACATAAGTGGCGTGTGCAAGAGAGTCAAAAAGGTAGATATAGTTTGGATTTACAAGTGAGTCAAAAAGGAAGGCATTGGTCAGGTTTCGAAACGAGTCAAAAGGTTAAATATAGATAGGTCGGGCCTGCAATTGAGACGAAAAGGTAGAAATAGGTCGGGTTGGCAAATGAGACAAAAATTTAGACATAATCGGTTGGCAAGCGAGTCAGAAAGTTAAAGATCAGTTAGGTTTTTAAGCGAGTCAAAACGGTAGACATAGGTCTGGTTTACACGAATCAAACAGTAAATATAGGTTTTGTTTGCAAGCGAGTCAAATAGACATAGGTACCGTAAACAGGCGACTCGTTTTTGGAGAGGTTTTACCCCGCTGAAGGATCTGTTACCTACATTTGTGATCATGTGCATCTAAACTATAATCATAGAATTTTTCAACCGACGGATTCTCTGTTGTAAGAGATTTAGTTAAACATTTGTTTTGCAATGGGCATTGGTCAGAAGTCCTACAATTACATTGGCCAATATTTCTTTGGACCACTATCATCATATTTTCTAAACTGATTTCAGCGTACTATCTCCACAATAGAGAATCCGACGGTTGAAAAATTCTATATTGGTAGTATTATGAATTCTTTTAAGACTAGGTGGTATCAACATATCTTGTCCTTTACAAATACTACTTACAGAAATAATACATCACTTTCTAGATATTTTTGGAATTTAAAAGGTAATAATAAGACTCCTAAGGTGAAATGGAAAATTTAAAAAATGGCAAGGACATGTAGATCTTTAAATGAGCCTTGTTTTCTGTATTTACATGAAAACTCGAAATTATCAGAATTTTTGACAAAAATTCATGGTTAAATCAATGATATGAATTAACAGTAAATTGTAAGCATAGTTTATCTTTTACCTTGCAATTTAGTTAAACACTGAAATTTGATTATGCTTTTTTCTTATATTTTAATTGTACTGCGTTGCACTATATATGGATTATCTTTCTATTTGTAAGATTAATCTGGATTTAATATAATTTTATATTAATTTCCTGGTAGTATTGGTAACATCTTGTAAAGATGTATTGGTACATGGTGACTATTTTGACATTTTACATTGATTGATTAGTGTTCTTAACATCTTATATGAAGGATCTTTATTTAACAGTTGTATATTAATTTACCAAATGATTCTATATCTTTAAATTATTTACTAGTTTCTTAAAGAAGCTATTTATTTATCAACTACAAAAATGTTATGTAAGAAATTCACAAAGCATATAATGTGTTTAGCATTTTGTTGAATTACCTCTCCACCCACTTCTTATTTCTTAGGAAACTGCATTCTCTGGTTCGTATTTATGTAACCATATGTATCCGCTTTAGTTTATATCTGGCTGCCGTTAGCTGCCAATCTACGGGTCATGACCCATTCATAAAAAAATAATTTTTAATTTTTGCTTCTTCGCTTAGTTTAAATTTAACGTAAGTCATATTTGAGTGGTTGATCAGAGTAAAGCCCACATATCTTATAACCCCATTTTTCTTGTTTTTTTTTCGTAAAATGAGGTTGTGTTTTTCTTTTAAAACTAAATAAATCGTTCACTCGCCAGTAATTTACAATCGCCTGATGAGTTTCATTGATACACATCGAAACACAACTGCAACTGTGTAGCTATTTTTACCTGTTTTCGGTGTAATATCCTAATATATATATATATATATATTGGTGTATACGGAATAAATTCCAGTAACCAACAATTACTATTCTTAAAAGAGTGCCCAATACAGAGTAGAGCGAATGTAATTATTTATTTAAAAATAACATAAATATTTAGATTCTACAATCTACATTCAACATCATCACTTGATAAAACACCAGAGGTGTTGAAACAAAATGTCTATTTTTGTAGTGATTTTATAACATATTTATGTTATAATTTTTAAATAAATACTTATATATATATATATATATATATATATATATATATATATATATATATATATATATCAGATTTATGTAGTATAAAACCATCTTCTTACATACCATTCAATGCACAACACCTTTTGAAAAAGTACGAGACGTATATTTTTATGATTTATATTTCAGTTTAATTGCTACTTACCTTGAGTACGATAGACAGACATACGAAGCAAAAAATAATGAAGATTGTCACAACGATGGCCTTATATGTCGTCTACAAGGAAAAGAAGAATTTATATTAATAATGGAATCAAAAATAGCATTGAGAAATAATCTTCATCCCAATTCGAAACTTCTGAAATCAAAGTAGTTTCAAACAAATTTCGAATTATTTTATTAATATTTTACCTTTGAGGATATATCATTTGAAGTTTGACACAATCTTTGTTTATTTCATTGTTCTCTCATATTGGCGTTTGCTTTGCTTTACTTTCGATATACGCCGATACAAAGAGATCTTAGAATTTATTCACAAATATCTTCTGAACAATAAAATATCTGGATAGTATGGAATGAAAAATATTTCTTTCTTTCTTCATGAAATTTTTTTTCTCCATGAAAATTTCTTCGTTTCTTGGTTTGTTTGTCTTTCTTTCTTTCTTTCTTTCTTTCTTTCTTTCTTTCTTTCAGATTCAGTTGAAACTGATTGCTTTTAAAAAAACAAAACAAACTTCCTCATTTTCCTACTTACATAGATATTTGACGGATATGCTAAAAAAAAGCACTCCATACAAAATCAAATGCCGTAGATAATTTTTAACAGAGCATAATTTCTTATATTGATAAACATCTGATATGACATCAAAACAACACACACATACATTTCTGGAACCTCCTGATGGGTGGACTGAACGATTAAAAAAGGTTCGTGCACTAAACTCTGGAGTTGAGAAGCTGAATATAACATCAATAAGCCAAGTGACAAATTTTATTTGTGTTAGCTATATATATATAGCTATATATATATATATCCACAGACTGTTTCGCAGCTCATCTGTGTGGCTAAACATCCGATTGCCTGAAACCGGGATCGAAACCAGATAGATTTGGTATTAGTCAGAGAATCTACCCGTAAGCCATTGGCACACGACATGAATGAAGGTGAATTTAAACGTATTTATTTTTAGATGAACGCGCCAGTGACTGGGAGGATTCGATTCGTTTTAACGAAGAGTCTTGCATTAGCAGCAGTAATAGTCACTGTTTACAAATTCACTTTTCCTCCACGAGAACTCAACCTAAATCATTTTTTCAGGAGCATATATATATATATATATATATATATATATATATATATATCATTGTGGCGTTGAGTTCCAATTGCGCTCGCTTTTGCATAAATATTCAACCTTTCTCGCTCCCAACCCGGAGCAAACTGATTTAGTCAGTGACTAGTCTAGGAGAAAAAAACAAACTCTGAATTCAAAATTCAGTATTATCCATCCCCAAGGGATGATAAAGGTTCCCGTCAGTTTTAGGTGCGTAAAGAGTTGCATAACCACACACAAACTCTGGACAGAATACAGCTGCAAGATGAGGTTCGGGAGGAGGCGGGTAATGGATGATCAGACGCGGGGAATTCAGGGCTTTACTCTTCTCTTAGAATAAAGCAAGAGTACCTAGCGTACCCTGTTATTTCACCCATATATGGAGGAAAATAGAATCATGCCTTTTCCAGGGACATTAGCGCGGAGGGAATGAAACAGATTCTGTTATAATTTGAACTCGGCACGCCGATTCTACTTCCCATGCTGATAACCGTTATACTAAAAGCACATACACACACACACATCCACATAAACAGACATGTATATGTATATGTGTGTAGGTGCGTATACAGATATAATGAATACGCCCACACAGAGACACACACAGACTTATATATACGCACGCACACACACACACACACACACACACACACACACACACACACATACACATACACATATTTCATTTTTCGTTTAATTTTTATAAGTGTTATCTGATGATCCGGCGTCCTTTAAAAGGACTTTGGTGAAATAAATTATTATAATGGTACCTTAAAGTGGTCTGTTTTTTTAATATATATATATATATATATATATATATATATATATATATATATTGTCATCCACAGAGACTGTTTCGCTATATCACAGGTCTTCAGTATGGCTAGACGTCCGATTACTTCAAGCCGGAAATATATATATATATATATATATATATATATATATATATATATAGAGAGAGAGAGAGAGAAAAGGTTGTTTCAACGAGAGAAAAATGTATATTTTAAAAAAGAGAGAAACCGCAAACGTTTTTGGTTATAATGTGAATTTGTTTTCGTATATATATTTTATTCTTTTATATATATATATATATATATATATATATATATATATATATATATCCAAACACGTTTTATTAAATTCCACTGATAAGCTGTTTGCTTTTTTATTGCATCTTTCTAATTTTCTATTAAGATGTTACGTATTGGGATCGAAGTTGTGGATAAACTGTCCGAACATTGGACCATCTCGGTCTTTATCAAGAATCTGCTATTAAATTGCATTAGTACATCCTGGTATTTTATAGAGAGTTAAACGTTTGAACCAATCCCAAGTGACGTAATGTGCAAGACCGCGTCAAAAGATTGCATAAAATATTATGAGTTTTTTTTAATATACGCCTGGGCGTATATTAAGTGTACGTGTATATACATTTGTAGAACGACTACTCATTTTTTTTTATTGCTGTTGGGTGAGTTGTAGACAAAACCAAATGCAAAAGACTAAACTGCGATTTAACTTACCGGACTTACACCTTCTGGAATCCTCTCGTCAGCTGTGAACCAAATACGCACGCGGGCTCGTCTTCCTTTGGAAGTATTTACTATTTCCATCAATTTGGCCGCTTCTCGGCCACGAATGATGACCACTGGCCGTTCGAGAAGCGTCTGAGACGAACGCCGTAACTGGGAAGAAAGACAAGAACAGATTAAAAAAAAAAAACAACAACGGCAAAATAAACAAAAAACAACGAAAAAAAAAACATCGACAAAAAATAAAAAAACAACGACCAAAACAAACGACAAAAATCAACAACGACAAAACAGAACAACGACAAAAAAAATACGACAAAAAAAAACTAAACAAAAAAACAATGACAACCCTCCCCCACAAAAAAAAAACAAAAAAAAAAAACAACAAAAAACAGAATTTATCGTTTCAATGACCGTACTTGGATAAGCTATTCACATTTTTATGGATGTACGGGTAGTATAACGGATATCGGCGTGGAAACTGAGATTGACAAGCAGTGTTCAAATTCCGGGCTTGACTATTGCGTTCACTTTCGCATAAATACTCTTGGGAAAGGAATGAACCCGTCTCTTCCGCCATCCCATCTATGTATTATATAGTAGTAACGTAGATTGGGCTCGATGACAACCAGTTTAAGAGGAGGAAAACTCTGAATTCTAAAAAGTGGCGAGGGCAACGGGAAATTACACCCCTACTTTTCTCAAGAAGTTAGGATGTTTCACAGAAAGAATTCTTAGGGGAGTCATATTTATCATACACTTTTTAATTACTAAATTAACGGATATATTTTTTTTTATTTCGTGGGTGCAAAAGTTCCCATATTTAAAAAAAAACACTTATTTATTTTAATAGATGAGTTTCTTGCGAATATCCAGTCTTTATTTTTAAAAATGGTTAGGGGGGCGCACTGGAAGATTTTGCACCCATCACATAAAGTAAGAGTGTAACCATATCAAAAGAATTGTTGTACATAAAAATGTGGAGAAAGAAAACTTACAGTGGGTGCGATGGGTAAATTGTCGTCATTTTAATATTTTAATACGCGTTGTTTGTTTTTGATTTTGTCAACTGTGCAGTATAGTAGTCATCGTCTGTGAGAAAAAAAAGAGTGTCATGGCGCAATTCACTCCGCTAGAAATTTGGAAACGACATGCTGTACTGCCTGGCATTCGCGTCAGAAGCTCCATTACAATCATTTCAATGTGTTTGGATGTCAATCTAAGGACAATGCAGAGGATTCGGAAAGAGTTGGATGAGTCTAATGGTGATTACGAAGTTTGGGGTGAACACTAGTGATGGCGACGTTATGCCTCCATTTATCTATCTACAGGGCCTCAGACTCAACTTGGAGGCCTCCATCAAATGCCTTGATGAGTTAGTGCTGCCGGGGGGGGGAAGAGGGTGGCTGTTGGAAGATACTATATCTGACAACAGGACTCTGCACCATGCGACACAAGCAGGAGAACCCAGTCATGGCTGTCAGACAATTTCCTGCGACCCTTACATCTGGCCACTTAACTCTCCAGACTCTAACCCCCTTTGATTATTACGTGTGGGGCGCAGTTGAGCAAGAGACCAATAAAACTCCTTGTAACACCAAAGATGAACTGAAGGCAAAGATTATGGCAGCATTCACCAATTTAAACAAGGAGACCGTCCAGAAGAGTTGCAGGAGATTCCGAAGTCGCCTGGAGGTCGGGAATGGCGGTTTTATTAAATAAATTTACTCTTTAGTATTTTAAGATATTTTTGTGTAATTTTGGTAAATATATCTGTTAAAATGAGATGTCAGTATTATTTTCATATTTGCGTAATTTAGATGACAATTTATCCACCGCACCCTGTATTTACTAAACTATGTTTTGCAGAATATTGATTAGGATAGATAACGAAAAGACACAATTTACTAAGAGCTACAAAGATTAGGAAATTGTGGAGAGTCATTATCGCCCACATCCTGAAGGAACATGGCACATAGAAGAAGAAGTACGATACAAATCAGGTTAGGAAAGAGCATAGGAAGATAGTATTATGGTGTCCCAAAAGTTCGTAAACACTTGCGAAAAATTGAATTTTTATGCAACACAATCCAGCACAATCGAGACAAGCGATGGGTTCAGAAAGGGCAAGAGACACTGTCGGTTCCAAAACAAGATCGATTCGGCAAGAAAGTCATGTTGTGCGTTTGGTGGAACTTTGAAGGAATCGTGCATTTTGAGTTGGTTCCGAATGGTCGTGCCATCAGTGCCGAACTTTACTGTCAGCAACTGGAGCGGGTCTACGAAAAGTTGAAGCAAAAGTACCCGGCTCTGATCAACTGAAAGCGCGCTTTGATGCAGCAGGACAATGCCAAGCCACACACCGCCAGGAATACCAAAGACAAGTTTGAAGAGCTGGACGGCGTTGAGGTTCTGCCACATCCAGCCTACAGTCCTGACTGTGCTCCATCAGATTACGGCCTTTTCCGCTCAATGCAACACTTTCTGAAGGGCTGCCGATTCGACTCATTTGATGAAGTCGAGGAAGCGTGTCAAGAATTCTTTGATTCGAAGCCGGCTGAATGGTACTTTCACCAGATCCGAAAGCTTGCAGATCGATGGCAGAAAGTCTTGGAAAATGATGGTCTTTATTTTAAGGAATAATTTTTGTTGTTTTTGTTATTACTTGGCGAGTAAAATTTCAATTTTTTGCAAGTGTTTACGAACTTTTGGGACAACCTAATATTATGTCATAATGTAAGTGGCAAGTTTTTAAGAAATCCATGGACTTATTGTACTGACTTTCAAAAATACAACCTTTCAGAAAAATTGATATCATTTCGTAATCTAGTAACTTGCCCAATTCTCATTCAAGTTATTTCAAATATTAACAGCATATGTAGAAACAAATCAAAATTCTATATTTAATGTTTTATGTTTTTATCTTTTCAAGTATAGAAATACCATTCACTGGAAAAGAAAAGGTGTGTTAAAAAGTATACTTGTACAGAGTCGAACAAGACTTTGCATTTGTGAGAGAATTCGCTAAAAATGCACCAACTGCAAATCCGATTCGGATATGGCAGCAAAATGTTTGAAGGCTGTGCAAGGCAAAAGCATTTGAACGAGCCACCAGTATCGAAATTATATTGAATATTGAAAACTTATGAAATCATTCATGAAATCCACGTACGTTTGAATTTTTCATTTAAATTTTGATGAATAAATCTTATTTTACTTAACAATCAGCCAGTTTAATTTCATTTGCCTAAACTATGTAGTTACAACATTGTATTATGGAAACATTAATTTGCATAAATCTGACATTGTGAATGTACGAAAACGTATAAAGTCCTTAAAACTTTACTAGTCGCAAAGCTTAAGTATTTTGTTGGTAAATCAAATTAAATTTAATTTAAGCGCAGTACTAGATTGGCGATAAGGTCTCATTAATTTATATTTGAAATGGCTAGATGTAACCGTAAATTCTTTGCTAAGAGTTTCATCACTTGTTCTCTTGTGGAACTATTTTTCGGCTTCTTGTTTTCCAGCCAAAAAATTGAATACAATGTCAATCGCTATGTTCTCTCGTCTTAATTTCTTTTTTTTTATTATTCCTTCTCCTTAATAATGCTTACTTTTCACATATTCTCTCACACTCAGTAACCACTTGCATCTTAGTGGCTTTATTGCCTTGTTTGGGGCGAAATGACTAAAATAAAAGCAATAGATGTTCATGTTTAAATAACGCTTTATTACAAGGGTTGAAAATATTCAGTATAAAAAAAGAATATTACAAAGTGATAAAACAAATACAATATGAATATATTTTTCTAAGTAAATAGAATTATCAATTTCCAAGGAAAAGTTGATATTTGTGAAATATTATATTGTTTCTTTCGAATGGCACCCTACAAGCCTCAGCTCCTTCAGACCTTAAAGACAGATGACAAGCAAAAGCGGAACAATTCTGTGTAGATATGCGAGAGAAACTTGAAAACTTGTTCATGAAATCCACATACGTTTGAATTTCTCATTCATATTTTGATGAATAAACCTTATTTTGCTCAACAATAAGCCTATTTATTTTCATTGGACTAAACTATGTAGTTACTCAGATATTTACATCTCAAATAATATTTTTTTAAAGGCGCTCTCATACATATAGTCGTGGTATGCTTGAAGCATATTTGTTTCGTAATCCAGTTCACGTTGCGTATTTCCCTCCAGTGACTGGTGTTCGAGTTCACATAGAAGATATGACCTTGCATGCTAACTTTTACGCCAGATACTTCCCCATACAAAATCTTTGCACAACACAATCTTCCTGTGTCACTTTCTTCGGCTTTTTGACAGATTACATTAAGCTTTGTAGATTATATGTGTGCGCACACGTTTGTTGTCATAGAAGAGTTGCTAGATCTTTATTACAAAGACATGCCAAGTAACCTTGCTAGTATATAATGATCTGAAATGTTCTTACTGACCTTTGAATTCAACAGAAATGGTTATTAGGCTTGGAAAAGAAAAAAAAAAAAAGAGCGGCCAGATATGGCAATTTACATGTCGAGTCAGCAGATAGATTGGGTGTTGCTTTTTGTATACCATGGTAAATGATTTCTTTGTGAAATATCTGGAAAAATGATTATCAATTAACTGAAAAGACTTAACTAAATGAAGAAAGTATAAGAAAAGGTAAAGGGAAAGAAGAAGAAGAAGAAGAAGAAGAAGAAGAAGAAGAAGAAGAAGAAGAAGAAGAAGATCAAATGAAATGAAAGAAAAAGATGAAAAAGGAACGCAATGAAGTAGAGAAAAAAGGCGCAGATTAAAGAAAGAAATAAAGAAAGGAAAACAAGAAGCGAAAGAAAGAAAGAAAGAAAGAAAGAAAGAAAGAAAGAAAGAAAGAAAGAAAGAAAGAAAGAAAAAAAAAGTCGGACCATTTTGGTGAAGTCGAATCTCGCTATGATTGGCTGTGTCAACACATTTTCAAACACTGAGACACTTGGACAAAGCAGACTGAATAAACACAGTCGTATTCCTAGAACTCGTTGATAAATAGAAAATACCACGCATTTTCACGTGTACATGTGTGTGCGTGTCTGTGTATACGTGCAAGTGAGGACACAGGTTAGTGTACATATTTGGTAAGTATATTTTAGTCCAACGCATATCTA